TCTCTTATTTATCCCAAAATGACCAAAAAAAATAGCAAGTAAAAAAAACAAACAACGAGGATGTTTGTCTTCTCCTTTATCAACTCAAAAAAATAAAAAACAAAATACAACGCAAACTATGTATATTCCACTAACCCAATGAACTTCTGAGACTCCAGAACCAGATGTGATTAATGAAGATGATCCTTCTCCTTCAAAAAAAGACAAAGAAAAAGAAACTTTAGAAGAGACTCCAGATAAAACTACCATCACTCTTGACGTTAATGCTGGTTTTAACACGTCAGAGAACTTTTTAGACAAAGATACAACTTTGTTTCAAGCTTTTGAACAACAAAAACTTCTTTTCATAAATATTTTCCACTTCAAGAATTTCCAGGAATATCGTCGTAGCAAAAAGTTTCATTTGTTATCGACTTATTTTTCGATAAATATGATTCGTTCACTAGAGCGAACTTGGCCAAACATCTGAATTACAAATCACAGCGTATTCTCAAAATTTCCTTTCACAACTAGGAAGAATGAAATCATGATTGTTCAGTCCAGTTATCCAATTTGGAATATTACACATTCTTACCTCTTAATGTAATACGCATACAACCATATGAGATCTTTGCAATAGAAAGGGGGGAAACTGCTAAGAATAATTAATTTTACTTTATATACCAAAAATGATTTTTATGCTGAAATATGTTCAAATTTAGCATTAACTCACTTTTGATTTTTCCGGCTGTTTCCCCCCTTTCTATTGCAAAGGCCTCATATGTTCCTGCAAGGTCAATCAAAATAACTGAAATCCCCCTGGATTCTACAAAACACAGGATCAAGACGACATTTGCCAAATTCAGAACAATTGTCCATTTCACCATGAAGACAAAGAATATGTGGCAACAAGCCATTATCACCTTCGTGAAAGTTGCAAATTTCAAGGGGTTGAAAGATTGCTATGGTATCTTCATTCTTAACGACATGATCAGAGTCCACATGTGTGATCAACCTCGTGCTGATATTCTTGCTTGTTCTAAATTTTCAGCAAAATTTACCAGTCTCTCTAGGTTTACGACTGGTAAACAACTCAAAAAAATTTGAAAAATGGTCGACGCTATTGCTTGGGTTATCTCTAAGGTCCAGTATAACTACCAAAATTTACAATACGCATTTTTTACTTTGCCTTCGCAGACGATATTAAAGCTGCTATTTCCAATGATAATCTTACTATAGATGGAAAACACGTGACTTGGACTGCATAAAAGGCCAAACTTTGTGCTATTTGTTCGTCCTCAAATCACAAAGCTAATGAATGTTCACGAAGAAGGAAAAGTCTATCTGACTGAAATATGCAAAATCTCTATCAAAGATTTCAACCAGCCAAGTACTTTAATTATAAGGCTTCAGCTAAAAAGATGAGAGGCGCAGTAAACCCAGACATCACTTTTGCCTATGTCACTAAACCACTATCTACTTCAAACAACAACCAACAATCAACACCATCTAGAAATAATAATAATAACAACAATCCTAATAACAACAATAATAACTGAAACAAATTACCTTTACGATCTTATAACAAATGAATTGCATAATCTGGTTTATGGTCTGATGACATCCTGCTGAACATGAATGAAGAAATTCTTTTTGAAAACACAATTTGCCTCACGTCTAACGGCATAGTTTATAAAGATACAAAAGCAGGTGGATTAATGCATGCTAACAATGATGATGACTTTAAAGATTTTGTCAAGTCCCAATTTAATAGTTTTACAGAAAACTTGAGTATCATTATGAGCATCTTAATGTTCACTGTTAAATAGGTGGAATCTATCGAACAATCACTCAATATCAAGGTCATTACTCCTGCCGAGGCTGACTTAAATAATCATAATACTGGAGAAATAGAAGACAAAATGGAACCCACTATCGACTCATCAGTATTTACCATTTTGAAACAATAAAAAACCAGCAAAAGCCTCAGAAATATCAATGCTATGCATCAGTACCGCCTCAAGTCTTTCACTATGATGGTTAATACTCTAGTTCAATTGTGCGTTACTTTTCAAAATGTACTTTTGAAAAATAATTTACTTTTCAAGAACAAGCCAATAATATCTTTCCACTTGGTGTAATATTTGATACTGATATTGAGCATTATACCAAAAACCTTTCTCAATATTAATTTTTTATGAACACTATCCCTACTGATAATAATGCACAAAATGCATCAATTTCTAACACAACTCCTTTAAATCATACTCCTCCTCCTTTTTTATTTTTTGCTTCACATAATGTCTACAGCTTTACTAATACCACTAAATAACATTCCCTTACCGAATAATATCTTTCCTTAAATGTAGACGCTATTGGTCTACAAGAAACTAACTTCCTTCAATAACACATTCGACCATTTAATTTTGAAAACTCATCCAATTTCATAGGTTTTTTCAGTTTTAAATCACCTTCTAACAAAACTGGCTTTGACATAGGCATTTTATTATGACCACTACTGGCCAATTATGTTTTTCACCATAAACAATTGCTCAATAGAATTATTTATATCGATCTTTAATTCACCAACAAATAAAATTTACGATTCATCAATTGCTATTTGCTTCTATCTGACGTTTCAACAAGGAAAATTATTAAAAATAATCAACGAGCCTATTTCTAAAGACTTCCACATTATTTTAACTGGGGACTTTAATGCTGATATGAATAGAGATAAAAACCCAAAGGGCGTAAAGGAATTTTTACTTTGCTTCAAAATTTGCATTTGTTCAACGCATGCACATTGAAACATAGTAATGATCAGGTCAATTATCCAACATTCAAATCAACAACTGCATCTTCTCATATCGTCTTCATTTGGACTTCTTCAGAATATGCCTATAATTTTAATACCTGTAACACTGTATCTGTATTATCACAAATTTTTGATCATTCAATTGTGATTTGTTCCATTGATAATTACCTTAAGGTCAAAAATAACAAATATAATATTCCAAAAAAGACGATATACAACTATGATAAAATGAATGAGGAGCTCTAGTCTGGATACAAAACAAGATGGATAGCATTGTCAATAGCTGTGAACTGTGCCAATTGTATTATCGCCCGAAATTATGAATCAATAAATTCTACTTTAAAATAAAGGAGTCTGGATCTTGACATTCGATCGCAAATATCTCGAGATAGAATGATTCAAAATTAATGAATATTAGCTCAATGGATTCGTCTAGTTGCGGGAAATCGAATGGTAGTTGTTTCATACAAATCGAAGCGATATTGACCAAGATCGTGAAACTTTTGTTTTTTTTTTGTTTTTTCTATATATAAAAATCATGTGATATGACGTCATTTCGACTATTTCGACTTTTCACCTCTAATGGTCAAAATAATTTCGACCATTTCGACCATTTCAGATGTCTAAAATGATCTATTTCGACTTCATGTATAGGTTGACGTCTAGCTACTGCCATGTTTGGTGGATTAATAAGTGGATTATTTTGTAGATTTAAAATAATTTGCCTCGAATTTATTTCTTGAGCTTTCCATTTTTGATATCGATTAAATACCCAGGCTCTATTGAATTCTACTAAGTCAGCCTCAGTTTTGCACCTTCAATTTAATAGCTGAAGAGCTACCTTTTCTTATAATAATATATGGTTACGCCTTTCTACTTTTTGTGTTCTAAGCCACCATACCCGTCATTCATCTGTTTCATTATTATATGCTAAAGTTAATAATTGAGCTCTTCAAAGACATTCATTTCTATCTATTGATCTATCCATTAGCTATATTAAGCAAACCTTGATAATGTAAGACCTTATTTGATATCTTTTGCATTAAAGATGAGGGACGAAACTCAAAAAAATCAATTAATAAACAGCCGAAACTATATTAAAACATAGTGAGGGGTACGACGAAACCCCAAAACCCGAAATTAGCTGAAACTATATTAAAAATATAGTAAAGGATATGACGAAATTATTTTGAGGGAGTTTCGGCTGGCATCTTTATTTTGCATATGAGTACGAATAGTTGCTAATGTTATTCGTATACCATTCAAAGTATTTTTGAAATCAAATGATCTATTTCCATCAATATATATTTCAATACGATTTATAACTGTTGCAATATCTCTTAAAAGATATGATAATGCTATTGGTGAACTATTTATTTGTGATAATTTTTTATCTGTAATCTTCCTAATTTGCTTCTTAAACTGATCAACCTTGTCTTCTAATCTTAAAATATAGATATCTTGTGCAGTATTGGCATTACCTTTATGTCTTAAATTCTGCTAAACTTGGTAAAGATGCTATTTAAGGAATTTTATCTTGGTCTTAAGAGAATTTATTTCACCTTCGTGGGCTATAATTGCTAAATCCTGATGAGATAATGTCCTAAAACAGCTTTCTAGTTTCCTTATGAGTGCTTTAAGTTTTTTATTCTTAAGTTTGTTTTTAGTTATTTCATCCACTAACTCTTTGCATAACTCTTTATTTGTATTTAAGATTTCGATATAAACTGACTCCATGGTATTAATTCCTATTATACAAATAGATTCAGGTAAAGCTCGAAACCTTGATGTATCTATTGATTTACAAAAGATTTATTACCAGCCTTAAGGTTATCAGAGGACTGCGAAAAAATTGCATGAAGCTTCTCTAAAAGCTGGGTTTAAGTTTACTTTAAATGAAGTGTGTAATTGGTTTGAAAAACAGGCTGTGCATCAGGTTTATATGCCTCACTCTAGAAATATTCCAAGCGTATCTTTCATTAATATTACTATACCTATGTGGGTTATTCAAGCTGATTTATGCTATATGTCTTATGATCAAATTGGAAATAAAATTTATAAATTTGCACTTAATTATGTAGATATTGCTACTCGTACAAAATAGACCTATCCATTAACTAGACATGATTCTGCTAGTGTAGCTATAGGCTTTAAGAAACTTTTTAACTCCCAAAAATGTCTACTTACTTGACATAAAAAATATCTTATGGTGAATGGAAGTGTTGAATTTTGGGGTGATGTTATTAGATTAATAAATAAATATGGGGTTAATATTCGAATAGCTAATTCTAAAAAAAGTATAGACATTGTTGAAAGGTTTAATAAGACATTACAAGAATGGTCATCTGTTATTCAAGATGCTGTTTGTATGTGATTACCTATATTAGAACGTTGTCAATCTTGGGTTAAAAATCTTTCAATTATTCTTGAGAATCTTGATAATTCTATGACTCATCTTCTAGGTATTTCTCCTGCTAATGCACGAAAACTAAAGTATATTTATGCAAAACCTTCTAAGTATTGAAATGAGCCTATGAGATTTAATGAGAAGCAATTAACTTATGATGTTCTTGTAAGATATTTACTTAATCCAGGTGAATTAGAAGGTGGAAGAAGACGTGCTGGAGATATGATTTTGTTTTCTCAAGTTTATCATATCCATGAATCTTTAGTGTAAAAAAATCAGCCAGTCTTATACTGGCTAAAAGATAATAAAGGCAATAGTCTGAAAAAATCTTTTGTGAGAAAAAGATTGATAGTTATTAAAGAAGCATAGCTATCATCTTGATGGGTGCTTAGTAATTAAGAAAGTCTTCAAATTCTTTATTAACTTGTTTTTTAGTATTGAAATAATCTTTGGCTAATTTATAGTATAATTTATATAGATCTATTACAGCATAAAGAATTTTCAGATCTTTTCCATACCAAGATTTATAGTTATACATAATATTATGATATTTATCCTTATCTGAGGATAATCTTTTTGCTTTTTCTAGGATAAATGCATTGGAATTTTCTGCTTAGCGTAATTTTTTTATCCGCTTTTTATAGATTTGCATGAATTTGCCATCCTTTGGCTTTCTATAATATATTCCTGCTTTGACTACATTTATTAATACCTGCTCGACTTCCTAGAAGGTAGGCTTTACTTCAGGTAATTGATTTTGTGTACTCATTGTGTAAGTAAATGTATTACTATATTATGTAAAGATTTGTTTAATTAAAATTAATTATATATATATTTAGAAAATGAAAGCAGATTTTGTTTGTGATTAACTTCATAATTCTAGTAAGACTTGTGGTAAAGTCTGTATTCAATCTGAAGGATATCGATCACACTACAAAGCTAAAAACTGCCAGTCTTGCATGAAATCAGGATGTGGTAAGCCTACCAGGTTATCTTGTGATCATTGTCATCTTCATACTAGGGTTATTAGGGTGTGCAATATCGGTTAATTTACAAATATAATGCATTAACTATAATGTCGATCATTATTATGGATTTTTATTAATAGTTTATTGTATATAATAAATTAACGCATGTATTACCTTCTATTTTTAGTAGCTATTTATGATATTAAAGTCACGTGTACGCAAATTAATAGAGCCAGATTTTTATATGCATATAAATTAATCATAAAAAACACGACGTAAAGTTTTCACGTCAATGTAAACTTTTTTTTTACTTTATTATTCAAAAAACAGCTCTATTTCATTAAAATATAGCATTTGAAAATTCCAAAAAAGTTATTTTTGAATGTTAACATCCACTTCCTACAGTGTTAACAGAGTTTTTTTTCGCTAATATGCCGCCTCAGAAAATACAACACCGTCACTTGAAGAATGCACATAATGCAAAGAAAACTTTTAACAGAAACTTTCTTCAAGATACTCAAAACAATGTACAACAACCTATTGACACTATTTTAAACGCTATAAATTTTTTAAATAATTTGAAGCTTAACGAGCTTTTTAAACAAATATATATTTTACAAGATACTAAAATGGTAATAACTATAATTCAACAAAAAAAAGATGAATTAATCAGACAAATATACGCATTATCAGATAAAGAAGTTTTAAATGTCTACCATCTTCTTAAAACAATGGTATATTCAAAAGGCATTCATATTGGACAAATTCTTTCACCCTATCTTCAGAAAAAAGCATATGAGTTTATTAAAACTGGGCTTTATAAACAGAAATCTTCGGCTATTGCAATTCAAAATAAAAAAAATCTCTTGAAAAAGAAAATAAGCAACTTAAAAAAGTTACTGCCAAATCAAATACACAAATTCGTTCATTAACTTTAAAAGTAGCTAAGCTAAACATTCTAAAACTAAACAAACTTCAAAAATTTGGGCTGCTATTCAGAATTCCAAAAAAGTTACGCCAAATAACCTTCAAAAAACAATGAAACGATTTTTAATAACAATAAAAAAGAATATATCTCACAGTTTGTTAATCTGGCAACTGAAATCAGTAATAAAGGTAATAATTCTGTTAGTTCAACCGTTGAAAGTACCAAAGCTGTATTTGAATTTTTGACTGTAGAAACACCTACCAAATGGATTTCTTCTAGTACTTTAACAAAATGGAATAAAGAAGTTGCACAAATAAATCTTCAAGAAAATCGACCAAAAGATACAAGCTTGCAATTTTATGGATATGGAATAATGACAGATGAGAGTACTCATGGAGAAAAAAAATTTTAATCGTTTGTACTGCACATTGGAATCAAGAAAAAAATAAACCATTAGTATCTGTTATTAAAATGAAAGATATGATTCGTTGTAATGGAAAAAGTGTTGCAGCAGCTGTATTAAACGCATGTCACGAAAATCAATTGAATCCACAGCAATGTCATTTTTGGCTTACAGATAATACAGCATATATGTCATCAGAAAAAGAAAATGCAACAACATGTTTCAATATAATAGCATCTGCAAATTCTTTTCGCATTCCTTGTGGATTACATGTTGCTCAAATTGTATTAATGAATTTTGAAAATACAGCATTTGGAAAACTTGACTCACCATCAGGATTATCATTAAAAGAACACCCATATAACTTAATAAACCTAGTCTTCTATCTTCATGATGGATATAATGAAAGTGATAAAGATAATCCTTTAAATATGAAATCAGAAGTAATACGCTAACTTTACAAAGAACTTTTAAATTATGACCTAACAAAGTATCAAAAACCAATTAGGACAAGATGGCTATATGAATTACAGACGGCAAAATAATATTTTGAATGACATGCCGCCCATCTTCAGTTTACTCAATGGTTTATTCAAAAATTAGAAATGGTTAAAAAAGTGCCACAAAGATATATTAAAAAATGGAAAATATTTTATTCATAGTTAAATAATACTAAACTAAATCTTCAATTATGTTGTCTCGTTAAATTTGGAGAAAAGATTTTTGAACCTATTTACAAATTTCTTACTGGCTATGATCCAGTACTACGAGTTTATAATTCAGATGGTAATGTAGTAACTCTTTTACCTGGTAATCGCGCTCATGAGATGCCAGATAAAGTAATGGAATGGATAGCTGAACTTCAAAATGCTGCAGAAACCATATCTGAAATATTTCAAGAAGAGTTAGTTGAAGGTCGTGCAATTTTGAGTTCAGATGATATAAATGAACTTTATAAATCACTTCAAACAGGAGTTAACAAATCTTTAAATGGATTTCTCAAATAGATGTTATTGTGAGTTAATTTACCTTTGAGTGTCTGTCGGTTAGGAGGCAATCATGGTCAAGAATTTGCTCGTGCTTTTTTACATGTTTTTTTTTCAAGCAGTATTCTAATATTTCATGACATGAAAATTCATATATTGAATTTTTGGAAAAAGATTTACAAAACGAAACTATTAATACTTTTGGATTAATAGAAGTACTTCAAGAATCAAATTTTTTGAAAGAATTTGAGAAGTTCTCTAACTAAAACTCTAATGAATACTGGAAATTCCCTAAGGTATATACCTTTATTAAATACTGAGTTTGGCCAATTGTTGTTCACCAGCAGCAATTAGAGGGTATGTTTAACCGATATGACATAAAAGTACATGCGAATATGAGTAAAGAATTACAAGAATCAAGAATTATTCTTTCAGGTCCTGGTAATGAATGTGTAGAAATTACACAAGAAAGACTTCAAAAAGTCTACCAAAAATTCAAAGAATAAGAAAAAGAAAAGGTTGAAAATGAAAATGAATCAACGTCAAGAGTGGAAGTGGCTAACGCTATTCTATATTCTTTTTTATTGCGTTAAAATGTGAGATTTTACTATTTTTGAACATTTATAGCATTGTTCATTATCATGCAAATTAATGAACATGTGAGTTATAAATTCGTAACATAATAAATTATATTTGCGAATTGAAACATTGAGCAAACTTTATTTATAAAATATATTTAATATTAAATATACCGAACTAAAATTCCAAGGAAAAATTTCAATTAACGTTAATGACTAACAAAATGATCAACAAAAAAATCCTCAATAAGAACCTACAATATAGTAGTTCTACTATGTTTGTGATTAGACTGATATCGCATACTCTAAGGGGTTATTATATGATTCAATATGTTAATAGACTTCGGGATAAGGTCCTGATGTTTTATATATGTTCAAGAGGTTAGACTTTTAGTAAAAGATAGATTTATTATATAGTTAGTCAAGTGGTTAGACTTTTTTTTTGCGATTAAATTTAACATATAGGTAGTCAAAATGTGTAATTTTTTGTCCTAGGATTTTATAAATGAAATAGCTTTAAAATGGTTTTCTGTATATTGATAAATTATTATTATGCTTGAACATAATTATTAAGCTTTTGATTTGCAAATTAGATAATGGCTAAAGCTAACTTTAGAGAGGTTAGACTTAGCATATGGTATACATTTTAGGCTTGCATAGTCAGGTTCAGCTCAAATTGTGTCATTTTGTTCCTTAATTTTTGATGACCTCTCTTAAGGCAAGCAGAATAGTTTAAAAGTTATTATTTATATTGGGTTTGCAATATCAGGCCCAGCTCAATTCACGTCACTTTGTTCCTTGATTTTTGATGATCCTTTCTGAGGCAAAAAGAATAGTAAATTTTTTTTGATATATTATTTGGGATTAAAATCAGGGTAGAATAGTTATATCTATCAGTGTAGTTCTTAGTATCAGACAGGCTAATTTCTAGCCAAGTTCAATAATATCATTTAATTTGAGTTAAATTGTGCTAGAGCTTTGAATTCGATAATTGATTCATATAGCTAAAATGGGTTAGTGAGTGGTAGGAATCTTTTTAGGTATCTTTTAGATTTTTGTCTCAGAAACCCTATTTTGCTCCTACTACTCTTGTTTTTAGAATTTATAAACTTGCAAAAACTTAATTAATTTAAGAGCTCAATACCAAAATGGTTTTGAATATGCAAGAAATTCTGATCATGCTGGTTTATAGGAAAGAATTGCAATTCATATTAATAGGATAAATCATAACCAAATATTAGCAAGACAATGCCAAAATAAATGGCATTTATTAATAAGAGAATATAACAATATCAAAAGAATCTTAAATAGAGACACAAGAGGAGCGAGAAGAACAAGAAATATTACATCTCCAAATAGATATGACATTCAATTTTATGAATTGATAAGAAGTGAATTCTGGCTTCTGAGAGATAATAACTCATCTTAAATTCTTTATTTGTTTATTTAAATATATATTATTTTATACATTTATATTTAGACTCGATACGAAGAGCTTATTTAAGAAGAAGATATGATAGATATCATTTAGAATATTAAAAACACAGGTGTTCTTAGGAATAATCAAGACATTAATTATCATTTTTATTTATATATAAAAAAATTTTATTGCTATAAAAAGTTAATTAAACAAATTAATAAATTATGATGTCAATTTTTCACGTAATAAATTTTTTTTAATGTTGTATCATGTGCTTTTTTCAAATCTAGATGTAGATTATTATATTATTATTAATTATATTATTTTTAATAATATCATGAGATTTTATTTTATCACGAGATTTTGTTGAGATTTTTGTTTATTTTTTATATATATATAATTTTTCTAATTTTTTTTTCCTCAATTTTAACAAAGTTATTCTTATTAAATTTTTTTCAACAATTTTTTTTTCACATCACAATGGAAGCAATTATGCAACAAATGTTATTGGTAATTTTTGATAATAATTGTTCTTTACTATGTTCAAATAATAAATATAAAAATTTATAGGAAATTAAAGCTTTGCAAGAAGCAAATGTAATGCTAATGTTAATGCTAATACTAATATCAATAATAATACCAATGCCAATGCTAATGCTAACACTAACAACACTACCAACCCCTGTTGAAAAACTAATACAATGATATATTTCTGCTAAGAAGATTCAAAAAGTTTTCAAATAGATAAAATGAAGTATCAAAATATTTTGGTAAGAATAAATAAATTATAAATATTATATTATTTATAATATTTATTTTTATT